TTTTGCATTTTCATTCATTCATTGTTGCACTGTTTTCTCTACCCTCCTCCCCAGTTCCCCAGTTCATTCTTCTCCCCCCGCCCGAATGTTTTAATTAAGATTTTAATGAAAGTTTGGAAGCAGGAGTGGCATCCCCTTCTGAAATGACTTGCCTCCAGAAACTCTATGAGCACTGGTCAGGTCTTTCATTCATAGGGTCGCTATGAGTCATCTATGACTCGACGGCACCTAACAACAACATAGAGAACTTGGATTTCCATTCATTCATTGTTGTACATTTTCCTCCCTACCCTGACCCCAGTTTGTTTTTCTCTTTGAAAAAAATTCTTTCATTGTTGCACAATTTCCTACCACCATCTCCCCTGCCCCCAGGATACTTTGCTATGCAGCTCCTATTCTGGACTGTTGTCATGCAAATGATACATAATCACATATTTCTTTTAAGCAGTTCTCTCCCTCATCTATTTCAATGCAGTGTACATTATTTCCCCCCTCTTTTTTTAGTTTCCTCCCTACCCCCATATCAATCCTGTTTCATAACAGTAGGATTATGCAGTATTTGTCCTTTTGTGACTATTTCACTCAGCATAATGTCCTTGAGGGTCAGCCATTTTGTACAGCATTTTATGAGTTCCTTGTTTTTCAGTGCTGCATACTATTCCATTGTGTGAATATATATATATTTATACACACACACACACTCACACACACACACAGAGCTTTTCTTTGCAAAAGTCAGTAACTCGATGAACCACTAACAAATCTAACAAAGAGAAAAAGAAGACAAATAATCAGAGTAAGAGATGAAAGGAGCAATGTCACAACTGAATCTACTAAAACGAAAAGGTTAACAATGGAATATAATAAAAAAAAAAAAACTATACTCAAATAAGAAAACCTAGAGGAAATGGACAAATACTTAAAAACTCACAAACTACCTAAGCTGTCACAGGCTGAAGTCAAGTACCTGAACAGACTCATTAAAAAAGAAGAAATTGAACAGGTAATAAAACAACTTTTGACAAGGGGAACAAAGGGAATAATTAACCCCACACTAAACCTGACTCTGTCCTCACCTTAAAAATCTTAAAAGAAAAACTTGAAACTTAAGTAACTTTGCTGTGCTTGTAACACAACTCAGAAAAATTCATATCCACTGTTGTAGAGTTGATTCCAATTCATAGTAACTCTCAACAATGTTTCAAAGGCTGTCAATATTTACAGGAGAAGGCTGATAATTTTATTAGCAGTGCAACACATACTGTACTACATTACAGAAAAATACCTAGCACTCAACAAGGTAAATAACTAAGTTTGGCATCCAAGAAAAAAAAGTACTAGGCATGCAAAGTAGTATGAAAATATGAACTCAAACTAAAACAAAGTCTAACGACCCAAAGTGAGCCTGAATTGACACAAATGCTCCAAATACCAAAGAACATAATTATTACAAAAGTACTCTAACTGTTCAAAAAGTAGAGGCACAGAAGTTACTTTTAAAAGCCTATTTCAGATTTATAGAGATAAAAATGTCAATTTATGAGATTAAAAAACACACTCGATAAAATGAACAGTTTAGAAAGTACAGAAGAGCAATAATGAATGAATTAAAATTAAAAAAAGCACAGAAGATTAGTCAATTTGAAGACACAGTAATAACAGGCATTGAAAGAGAAATAAAAAAACATTAGTGAGCTGTGAAACAATTCTAAGCAACCTAATACACATGTAGGGCACTCAATACATATAAGGAGCTCTAGTGGATAAGGAGTTGCACTGTCCACCCAAAGGTAGGTGGTTTGAATTCACCAGTTGCTCTGCTGGAGAAAGATGTGCAGTCTCTTCCCATGTGGTTAAAAAACTACCAGAGAGTCAGCTATGGGTCAACTTGCTGACACCCAACAATATACATACAAGGAGTCTCAAAACCAGAGGAAGAAGGGACACAGAAAAAAAATACTTGAGAAAAACTATAAACCTCACAGTAACAATAGGAAAGTTCAACAAAGCAGCAAACAATAAATGCTGGTGAGGTTGTGGAGAGATCGGAACCCTTACTTACTGCTGGTGTGAGTGTAAAATGTTGCAATCACTATGGCGCTTTCTCAAAAAGTAGGAAAAAGAAATACTATTTGACCCAACCATGCCATTACTGGGAATATACCATAAAGAAACCAGAATAGTCATCCAAACAGATATATGCACACCCATGTTAACTGCTGAGTTATTTATAATAACAAAGACGGAAGTAACCCAAGGGCCCATCAACAAACAAATGGATAGAAAAACTGTGGTATATTCACACAATGGAATACTATGCAACACTAAATATCAAAGAACTTGTAAAAGATTACACAATATGGGTGATCCTGGAGGACAAAATGCTGAGTGAAATATCTCAGTCACAAAAGGACAAATACTGTATGTCACTGCTGTTGTAAAGCAAGTCAGACGTGGGGGGCTGGGGACAGAATAGGATAAGTGTGGATAGATAATGGGCATTGCACTGGAATTGATGAAGGAAGGAACTGTTGGAAGGTGGTATATGATTAGGCATTATACATATGACAACAGCCCAGAGTAAGAGGTGCACTGCAAAGAGGATTGAGGTATGGGGGAGGTAATTGTGCAACAATGAGTGAATATTGAAAAAAAAAATAACTGGGGGAAAAGAAGAAAAAGGAGTAAAATAAGCAACAATGAATGAATGAAAATTAACTTTTCTGTAAACTTTTGTTAAAATCACAGTTAAAATAAAAAAATATAAAAAAGAAAAGTCTAAATGCAAAGATCTAAATTATTTGTTGTTGCTATGTACTGACAAGGGAGAACTGATTCATAAGTAACTCTCCAGGTTGGTTTTTTTTTAAATTTTTTTAAATTATTTTTTGTGTATGCACGGTCAAATTGGATCTGACTGGCACAGGAGGAGATGATTGCCTCTCCTTCGCCAGCAGAGCATCTGGTGGATTTGAACCATGCACCTCTGGGATTGCAGTGCAGCTTCTTGTCCCTAAGCCACCAGAGCTCCTTCAGGGTTTTTTTGTTTTTGTTTTTTTGAGGCAGTTAATAGCTTGGGAGGAGACTGTACATCTTTCTCCCATGTAGCAGCTAGTGGATTCAAACCACCTGCCTTCAGAATGGTAATGCAACTCTTTACCACTAAAGTGCTAGAGTTCCCTTAAAGATCAAAGAAGCTCAACAAACCACAAGTATAAATACAAAGAAAACTATATCCATGTAAATTACAATCAAATTTCTCAAAATGATAATAAAGTAACTTTAAGTAGCCAGGGATAAAAGAAATATTAAGTATAAAGAACAAAAACAAAAGTAAAAACTTGTATCTGTTGCGTAAAACAATGCAGACCAGAAGACAGTCGAACAACATCTTAAAAATATTGAAGAGGGGGCAGGGAAAAATACTGAAGAAAACTGCTTTGATTTAGAATTTTCTTTGCTCAATAAAAGTATTTTTGAAATATGAAAGTGAAATAAAGAAGTTAGATACAAAAGCAAAAAGAATTAATCACCAGCAGACATATACTACAAGAAATTATTTAAGAGGTGGCATTGTAGCAAAATGGAGTCACAAAAAGAAATAGTATAGCAAAGTCTTCAAGAAGTAAACTGATACAAGACAGAAATACAGAAACATTCCCAGAAATGAAGAACATCAGAACTAAACATGGGTAAAATCTACAAGATTGTTTCTTTGAATAACTTTAAAAAGTCTCACTAATCCCGACACATCAATCCCCACTGCCCCAGGTACTGTATCAATCCAATTCAGCCTGGGTTTTCTTCTCTTGTGCTGTCTTCCACCCTTCCAAGAATGATGTTAATTCTCCAAGGATTCTCTTTCCTGGCCATGTGTCCAAAGTATAATAAATGGAATTGAAAATTCTAGCCTCAACAACAACAACAACTTAAAAAAATAATTGGAAGTGCAACAATGAATGACTGGAAACCCTAAGTATCTGTAAACTTCCATTTAAAACTAATAAAAAATTTAAAAAACCATTATCAAATAAAAAAAAATAATTAGACTGACAACTTCTAGCATATTGGAATGAGGAAATCAGTATTATCTCTCAAAGCACTAAAAAGCAGGTTAAAATACACAAACAACGATTTCAGTATTCTAGAATTAGATTAAAGGTATACAACACACCAGGAAGAGATAATTCATGACATCTCCGAAATTCAATTAAAAATACTAGGGTCTGTAATGTACTACCCAGAAGGTGTCCCAGCTCATTCTCCAGGTAGTTCAACAAGGAGACTTTAGCTACCTTCAGGAATTCAACGGCTAGTATATGAGAAGGGCCAGCAGCAATGTTAGCATGAAGTTGCTGGCCTGTTTGGGGTAAGCAATGAATAGGCAGACTAGCCAGAGACATAATTAGGAAATCCAGATGATAAAACAGCTATAAAAGACTTCACAGAAAGTTCCAAATATCAAGGATTGATCTTATTTTATAGGCATATGCAGAAGAATCTTTTAACAGGTTCAAGCCAACTACATGCTCTTGACCAACATAATCACAGGTATCCCTGAAAAGAAGAGACATGAGAGTCCAGGAGAAAGGAAAAGTATGAAAGCTGAATCCCAGTCCACATACAGATACACAAGCATGAGTCTTACTGGTTCATGGAGTTTGAACAGCACCTCTGACCAGTCTAAGGCTATACAGTAAGCTATGAAGACAAAGGAGATCCTTCCAGGATACCAATTTTTTAACAATAACAACCACAAAGGACAAAAGAAAAATGTTTCAATACTATATTACTTTTAGTCCTAACAACAATTCAGGAATCAAATTCATAATATATCTGAGGAATACACATATATTCTTGACAGCATAAAGAGGCAGCACATGGCTCCGGAAGCAGAGCGCAGCGCAGGCTGATGGCCGAGAGCAAAGCCAGACCCTCTGAACTGGACCAAGACCTTTACGACTCTGACAAAAATGTGAAGATCATCTGTCTAAGGGACAGTGCAGTGGGCAAGTCCAAAGTCATGGATCGGTTCCTCATGGATGGATTTCAGCCCCAGCAGTTGTCTATGTATGTACTGACTTTGTACAAGCACAAGGCCATTGTAGATGGAAAGACCGTCCTTGTGGGTGAGCTTTCCCCTGTGAGAGGGAAGGTGGCCCTGAGGAGACTTTTGGGACACGGCAGGCCAGGAGCGGTTCCAGAACATGCATGCCTCCTACTACCACAAGGCCCATGCCTGCATCATGGTATAGTCACATGCAAGGCTGGGAGTGGGAGTGGGGACTTCAAACCACATGTCCTCCCCCAAGCTCTTGGGTGAGGCTCCTCTCTATGGACCTTTGAGGCTGAGACAAACTGTTGCAGTAAGGTGCTAGGTGCACTGCCAGTGGAGATTGATATTCCAACAAAGTAGGTGCAGCTTCAGCACAGGAAAGCACATGCTGCTTGCCCCATAAGCCTCATTCAACTCCCAGCCCTGCTTAAGTCACACCTTTTATATTACAAGAGATCAAAAGAGAGAGCAGGGAGGGACCTCACTACCACCAAGAAAGAAGAGCCAGGAACAGAGTGCATCTTTTGAACCTGGGGTCCCTGAACTGAGAACCTCCTAAACCCAGGAGAATTGTGATGTGACGATAGATGGAGATCTTGAGGGAGTGCCAGGCCCATAGATATTCAAGAGCGAGAGGGACTTTCCCCTCAGATCCAATAGAGAGAAAGTCTTCCTGAACTGCTGCTCTGAATTTTACCTGAAAACAGATGCCTTTTCTGTTTGTTAAAGCCATTCACTTGGGGTATTTCTGTTTTGAAAACATTAAGTAGCTAAGATGGAATGTGGAGCTGGACTAATGGGGGTGCTGCTCTAGGAAATGTGTAAAATGGGGAGATGGCTTTGGAATTGTGTTTTGGGAAGTGTTCTGGAAGTTTTAAGTGCCTAATATTAAAAGTGGTATAGAAAAAAAAAGGGGCAGCGCATATATTCTTTACTTTTAGGCACCTGCTTAAAGCATCAGGGGCATACCTATCAACAAATAATTAAGATCTTTGTCTTCCCTCTCCCACACAAACCCCATACAGAAAAAGAAGAAACTTCCAACTTACTGCAAGAAGATTCATGATGGTATGCCCTGTCTCTCCAAATAATGGCTTCCGAAATCTGACACTGAACAGTGGACATGGATAAACTATGGAAATGAGAAATGATCAGGTTAAGTTTGGCAATTTAAATTTTTGGCTAAAAGGAGCAAAATGGCTGATTCCATTTACAAAATCTAATTTTAATGGCTCATTACAGTATTTGAAATTTAGAGGTCAAAAATAGCATAGTAGCACCAATAATGAAACTTCTACAGATTATACCAGAGTAAGCTTTTTGATGACCAGATTAAGCCTTTAGATGTAGCTCTAATGGAAAAATGACCTACAAAGCTGTCTCCAAACAGGTTTAACAATGAGCCAGAAAACAAGCATCTCAATTCCTCTGTACTCGAGACATTTGAAAGAGTCCAGTCTTCTGTTTCTCCCAATCAGGATTCTATTTAGCTTCAAGGAGCTGCAGGCAAAAGGTGATGCTACTAGCTGGCTTATCTTTTTAATTTTATGGTTTAATTTGTTCATGAAAAGCAAGAAGATGCTCTTGTTATTTCCTTTGCAAACCTTTCTTCAACTTCAGTGGATTGATTTATTTGTACACCTTTTTAAATTTTATTATTCTGTGTGTGTGTGTGTGTACCATCAAATTAGATCTGATTGGTACAGGAGGAGATTGCCCCTCTTTCTCCAGCAGAGCATCTGGTGGGTTCGAACCACGTACCTCTGGGATTGCAGAGCTAGGCCACCAGAGCTCCCTTTTATACACCTTCTGCATGGCAAAGTCTAGAGGCCACTCAGTCCAAGAAGTATTCATGGTCCAACTCCTTAATCCTTATTGTGCTTATAGTCCATCTTGGTGCTCTCAAGGAATATTTGTTATAATCAGGATTTCTATTTGTCTTTCTTACTAAGCTGCTTAAGCAGCTCTCACTATGTTTTAGTCATTTCTGAATTTCTAGGAATCATGAAACATGCTATTGTTAGGGGCCATGAAGCCAAGCATGACTCATAGGGAGCTTATGAACTAGAGATCTGGACCTTGTCCTTTTCTGTGGCATCCTCACTATCTCTGATATACTTGAGTCCACTGGAACAGTCACTGTGTCTATCGATCTCCCTGTGGATCTTACTGTCTTTCACGACCTGTCCAATTACAATGTCCTTCTTCAAGGACTGGCTCAAAGTATGTGAAACAAAGCTTCACCATACTCGCCTCTAAGGAGTACTCTGTCAGGGAAAATTTGTTTGTTTTCTTGGCAGTACATGTGATATTCACTACTTTTCTCCAACACCACACTCAATTTTTCTGTCAACTTCTTTCACTGTCTAACTTTAAGATGCATAACAAGTGACTGAAATGACTATGGCCTGAATTAGGCACACTTTAGTCTTCAAGCTGAACAGCTTTGGAAAGATCCCTGACAGCAGACTTTCCCAATGCTGTACATCTCCTGATTTCTTGATATCTGGTACCAAGGGTGTTGATTGTGGAACCAAGCAAGATGGAATTGTTGAAAATGTCAATCTTTTCTCCATCTATCATGATGCTGTCTATTGGCCAGTGGTGAGGATTTCTGTTTTCATGATGTATAAATGTACTGAAGGCTGTAGTCTTTGACCATCTGCACCAAGTGTTTGAAGTCCTCTTGATTTTCTCCAAACAAGATTGTATCATCCGCATAACACAGGCTGTGGAGTCTTCTTCCCAACCTGATGCCACATATTTCTTCACAGTCCACCTGCTTGAATGATTTGCTCAGCACAGAGATTAAAAAGCTATGAGGAAGGTTACACAGTCCTAGCATACACTTTGCCTGATTTTAAACCTAGCTGTTCTGGAATTTCTATTCTTTTCAATGTTAGCCATAATTTGTTATGATTTACATAGTTAAATCTTTTTCACTGTCAATTAAATACAGACAGACAGTCTTTGGGTATTCTCTGCTTTATACTAAGATTCAATTGAAATTAGCAATGCCATATATGGTGCCATAGCCTCTTCTAAATCAAGTTTGAATTTTTGGCAGGTCTCTGTTGATGTACTGTTTTAACCATTTTTGGATAATCTTCATCAAGATTTTACTTGCATGTGATAATAATGATATTGTTCAATAATGTCCACATTCTGTTGGATCACCTTTCTTGGGAATTGGTCTCTTCCACTCTGTTAGCCTGGTAGCTGTCTCCCAAATGCCTGGAACAGACTGATAAACACTTCTTGGACTGCATCTGTTACATGAAATTTTACATGATCTCTTCAAGAAATAAATTAGTAAAAGAATGAAGCTATGCTGCTGAGTATATAGTATAATGTGTTATGGTTTATAAAATACTCTTTCAGTTATAATTTCATTTGATCTTATTAGTCCTGTGTGCTATAAAAGACAAGCATTATCTTCAGATTATGAAAGAAGTTAAGAATTTAGTTTACAGAAGTTGAGGAGCTTGCCCAAAGTAGTGAATGGCAGAGATGAAACTGTCATTCAAGTGGTCTGATTCTTAGACAAAGAATTTTTTTATTAATATTTTTATTGTTCATATACTTTTTGTTTCATACATGTACATTGTGTTCCACACAGTCCTTTATTTACATTATATTTTGTTCATTTATATTAGGTTTTCCCCCCTTCCTTACCAACAATGCTTCTGTGAAAGCATGTAAGCCAGCTACTTTATGTCTTATTTCATAATATCCCTGGTTTATAGTAGTCAATTACTAATTTGCCTATCCCTATCAAAACAGTACTCTAATGAAACAAGCATGGCCCTTGATCCTCTGTTCAACTTGGGAATTCTGAGCAAGCCCCAGGTTGCAGCAATAAATTCTGGTTCACAGCACAGATCATTTTCTCTTATTCTGGTTGTGTTTTGGTCAACTCATCTCCAGCCTTTGTGGCTAGGTCTGAATGGACAACAGCTATGTGTTCAGGAGAAACTTCTTCCTGCATTCCAGATCTCTTTGTCTCTTCACTCGGCCCTAGCTCTGACATGGGGCAAGGTCGAGTTAACAGGCCAGGGGTCTTCACATCTCTGGGCTCCTCAAGCCAACAACCCCTCCCTGTTCATCCATGTATCTATGCTTGCTAGGTGGGCAGGGAGACCAGGGAATGTTTTGACTAACAGTAACTCTATGACAAAAGATAGAGCCTTGTCCTATCTTGCTCCATACTCTTGATCTTCAACATGCTTAAGACTTTTAATTAGGACTTCTCATGGATTGAAAAGCTATGTGTTAGAAATTCCAAGCCCTGTACCTAACCCATTTGGGAACAGGGTTTTCTTTGTTAATGAAGTCACAGCCTTGTATGCTATATTCTAAAGCTAATTACTTCTAAGTTATTTTTTTTAAAAAGGCAGATCAGACACAGAAGCAAGCACTAATGGGGAAGTTAAAGGACATGTGAAGATCATCAAGGAACTCTAAAAATGCAGGGATACTGAAGATAAATGACACAAAGATCTTCCCTTCCAGAGCCCTTCCATAGAGCTGATTCCCTGATTTCAGAATTCTAGCCTCTTACCTGGTAGGAAATTTCTGGTTTTTAAAGATATCACTTGTGGTATTTCTGTTACAGCAATATTAAAAAATAAGACTGATTTATGATAAAGTTTGCATTGACATTTTTTGTCTTAAAATAAAACCCCATTCCACAACATAGCAGTTGTTGTTGTTGTTGTTATGTGCCGTCGAGTCGTTTGCGACTCATAGCGACCCTATGCACAACAGCCCTAAACCCTGCTCTATCCTGCACCAACCGCACTGCCTCTGACACACCCATCCCAATTACCCCAGTCACCGAGTCAATCCATCTAATAGAGGGTCTTCCCCTCCTGCGTCGTCCCTCCACCCTCCCAAGCATGATGTCCCTCTCCAAGGACCCGTCTCTCCTGGCAACATGTCCAAAGTATGTCAGATGAAGCCCCAGAATCCTTGCCTCCAAGGAGTAGCTTGGTTTAATCCTCTCTAAGATGAATCTGTTTGTTTTCCTGGCAGTCCAGGGTACATTCAGTACTCTTCTCCAGCACCACAGCTCAAAAGCATCCACTCTCCTTCTGTCCTCCCTAGTCACTGTCCAACTCTCTGATGCATAACAAATGATTGCAAAGACCATGGCCTGTATCAGGCGCACCTTAGTCTCCAGAGAGACACTGTTGGTCCTGAGTACTTTAGAGAGGTCCCTAACAGCAGACTTTCCCATCGCGATACGCTTTTTGATTTCCTGACTGCTGGTACCAAGAGTGTTGACTGTGGAGCCGAGCAAACTGAAGCTGTGAACACTCTCAATCTCTTCGTCATCCATCCTGATGCTGCCAGTTGGTCCAGTGGTGAGAATCTTTGTCTTCTTGACATTGAACCTCAGTCCATACTGAAGGCTGCAGTCCTTGACCCTTCGCAGCAAGTGCATGAGGTCTTCCTCAGTTTCAGCAAGCAGGGTTGTGTCATCTGCATAACGCAGATTGTTAATAGATCTTCCACCAATCCTGATGCCACAATTCTCCTCATAGAGCCCAGCCTCTTGGATAATCTGCTCTGCATACATGTTGAAAAGGTATGGAGACAGGATGCATCCCTGGTGCACACCCTTCCCAATTTTGAACCATGCAGTGTTACCCTGCTCTGTTCTGACTACTGCCCCTTGGTCCAAGTATAGGTTTCGTATTAGCACAATTAAATGTTCTGGGATTCCCATTCTTCTCAGAGTCAGCCACAGTTTGTTATGATCCACACAGTCAAATGCCTTTGCATAATCAATGAAACACAGATAGACATTCTTCTGGTATTCTCTGCTTTCAGCCAAGATCCATCTAACATCAGCAACAATATTCCTAGTACCACGACCCCTTCTAAACCCAGCCTGGACTTCTGGCAGTTCTCTGCTGATGTGCTGTTCTAATCGTTTTTGGATAATCTTCAGTAGAATCTTGCTTGCATGTGAAATCAATGATACTGTACTGTAGTTTCCACACTCAGTTGGGTCACCTTTCTTTGGAATGGGAACAAATATAGATCTCTTCCAGTCAGTTGGCCAAGTAGTATTACAACTATGAGGAAGGATACCGTTCTTCGATAGCTGACCTCAGCAAGTAAGACAGGTCTCCGTGTTACTAGTTTCTGGTATCCACTATATTAAAACATAATTTATTTTAACTACTTTCTAACCAAGTACCAAAGAATCTATTCCATATACGTGTACACACACACACACACACACAGAGAGATATGATACAAAATACTACATTCAACTTTCTTTTTCTGAAAATAATCAATAAATTATGTTTATCAATAAACTATAAAAAGAATAAATTTTCCTCATCTGACTTCCAAGTCCTTGCTATTATAAACAAAACAAGACACAAGCCAAATTTAGGTAAGCTACTTCAAAAGACCTACTTTTGCTGGGTTTTATCACCAAACTGAAGTCTCTGAATATTTAAGGTTTTATTTCATTATTATGCCTTGATCATATGGCTTAGTAGAGTTTTATTACTTACGTCGATATTCAGCTCCAAGTCTCAACATCAGTCGAATAGGAAACACTTTAGCCCAAGGAGTCTCCCATTTCTGGATGAGAATTCCAAACAAGTAAGGTGGAGTTGGGAGAACTAAGTCTTGTAGTGACTGGTAGGTAGATGTCACATATAAGAATCCACCATGTTCTTTACTGCCAAGAAAACTCTGACTGAAGAAGGAATGTCCCAAGTTGCTCACCACATTCCCTGAAATGAAAGAGTTCTTTGTTTTGACTTTCAACCAACAAAGCAATTATAATTTAAAATTACTGTTGTTATTATTATTCAGCACTGGGCCAGATATTAAAACATAAAACAAAATCAAGAGCAAACTACTAAGTTAACTATGATCCATGCAAACCTCATGTGATGTCAGAGACCTGTACTCCTTAGGGGTCTTTTTAAAAACTTTTTTTAATGGGTGTATCGTCAAATTGGATCTGACTGGTACACAAAGAGACTGCCCCTCTTTCTCCAGCAGAGCATCTAGTGGACTAGAACTGTGTACCTCTGGGTTTGCAGTGCAGTTTCTTGCCACTAGGCCAGCAGAGCTCTGCTCCATAGGGTTTTTAATAACGTATTTATGTTCATGAGAATATATACAGCAGAATAAAAATATCAATTCAGAAATTTCTACAGGTACAGTTCAGTGACACTGATTAAAATCTTTTAGAGGTATAACCATGCTAGCTTGCTTTTTATAAGTTGTTTCTTCACCATTAATATGAACTCACTAGCCTCTAAATTTTTTTCCTCATTTTTTGAGTTGCTAGTTGTTGTTCATTTAATCTTATACTGACACAGGCTGATGACATCTGGCAATGTGCTTAAGTGTCTGATAAATTGTGCAGATGGCATAGGATAGGGCAGTGTTCAGATCAGTTGTTCATAAGGTCCTTATGAGTCATATTTGACAGCTTTGTTGTTGTTGTTATGTACCATCAAGTTGTCTGTGACTCATAGCAACCCTCTGTACAATAATAGCTCTGAACCCTGCCCTATTCTGAGTCACTCTGTCTCTGACATATAACCTCATTTTCCCAGTCACTGTGTCAATCTATCTCATCCAGGGTCTTTCTCTCTTGTGCTGTCCCTCCACAATGTCAAGCTTAATGACCTTCTCCAAGTGTGGGTCCCTCCTGGTCACATGCCCAAAGAATGTGAGATGGAGCTTCAAAATCCTTGCCTCCAAGGAGCAGTTAAGGCAAGCACTCTTTACTAGTTGGGCTAAATTATTACTTGGTTTTAAGAAGATATCATGGGATATTTTTGGTTTATAGCTTAAAGATATCTCAGGGTAATACTTTCAGGGTTCATCTAGCCTCCCTGACAAGAGGAAATGTTGATTCCATGAAATTTTGAAATTTGTTTAGTGATTTTGGTATTTTTCTATAGATTTTTGGAAAAAAGGTTCAGTAATAATAAATGAGAATAACTCAATTCTTCACAGCAGAAAGGATAGTTGCTCATGAAAAGTAAACAGTCACAACAGCCACTCTACTTCTTTCCATTTCTGACTCTCCTTCCAGGTGTTCCACGTGAAAGCAAAAGCTCACTGCTGTCAGGTTGGTTTTGATTCACAGGGATCCTCCCATCAGTTTCTGAGGCTGTAATCTTGACAGGAGTAGACTGCTTATTTTTCTCAGAGCCACTGGTGGATTCAAACTGCTGGAGATTCTCAGCCTTTAGCACTGCAACTGCACACAGCCTATGTTACCAGAGCTCCAATTACTGTAGGTTTTATGGCCAACTGTAAGATTTTCAGACCCTAGTCAGCATAGAACAAACTTGAAGTCTAAATAGAAACAGTTACTCTAAGTGGTTTCCAATGGCTGATTTTTCAGAGATTGCTACCTTCTACCTTTTGGCTAAAAGCTGAACACACTGACCACTTATACCAACCAGGATAGGCCAGATACTAGAAGACTCTAATTCCTATATGTTCATCATCAAGAATTCTTATTTAGAACTTTTTTAAAAGTAAGTGCATGTGTTAAGGAAATGAAAACTTGTTTTCCAAATGTATCAGGGCTTTCCTGTACACCTTTACTGCATTAATTCTTTTTTAGGTTTCAGAATAAGAATTATTGTTCTACTGAATTTATAGTCTTATCAGATGACTACAGTTTATAGTCTCATCAAGTCAGTGAACATAACTGAGATAGAAGATAGGTCCCCTAGTGATGTATATGTTTCCCTTAATGCCTGTGAAAGAAGTAATAACAGGTAAGTCTCAAAAAAAGAATCTCATATTTAGTTTCTTTAAAAATTAATGATTATTTGTAGAACATCTATAGGTCAAGAGTGTTGAAGTGGGAAGGTAAAATAACAGTAGGATTCACTGGTGAAAGAAATACTTAAATACAAAACTCAGAGCAGTTTTACAGCTGAGAACTATGTTCTGAATGTTATGGCCTGCAATATATTCACAGATAGGTAAGACAACTGCATCTGGCTATCCAAGTAATCTGCTGGCTCACATGTGTAAAACCAAAAATATGCCCATTATCAATGAAGGAGATGCCATTTGGAGAGGAGGGGAGAATCCACACAGATTTTAGTCATAGAGATATGAGTCTGAATACTAGCTTACTCCCTATTGCAATGTGATTTGGAACACATGATTTAATTTTCTGGAGTCTCATTATTCACATCAAATGTGAAAAAGTACACTAAATTTGAGTCCTGCCAGAAAAAAATAAATGTTGATTGCTGTTGAGTTGAGCACAACTCATAGCAACCCATGAACAAAAGGCCTGAAGCCTTTGTAGAACTATCGTCATTTATTAGAGTTTCCAGAGGCATGTTGTTTAGGAAGCGTACACCACTCCTGCTTCCAAATGTGTCTTAAACTGGGAGCTCCACCAAACACTGCCCACCACAGGTAAACATTATGGAATTGAATAAATGATAGGACTTATGAAAAATGCCTAACAGCATCAAGGATGCTGAATGCTCTCACAAAAATGTTCCCTGTATGTATGTGAGGTACGGAAAGAGTAGGAAAAAGAGATTTTCCCCTTGTTACCCAAAGTGGAATATGCATACTCCTCTAAAGCTCTAATGATAGAATAATGTATATGTATAGCAAGACTATTCTCATGCAAATAGCTCAAAGGTAAAAAATATACTGGCCTAATATTAAAAGGATTAATTAATTATTCCTTTGGGATTTCCATATTACAGCCCATTGTTGTTGTGTACCTTCAACTACAATACATACTAGTATACACAATAGCTGACTTTCCAGTGAGTTTTCAGAGGCAGTAAATCACATGGGAGGAGACTGACCATCTTTCTCCTGTACAGTAGCTGCTGGTGGGTTAAAACTGCATACTTTTGCATTGGTAGTGTAATTCCCTACAGTTAAGTCACCAAAGCTCCCTTATTACAGTCTAGACTCTAGTACTGGGCATTTCTCCACATATACTAATCTTTCCGACTACCTACCACTTGCCTCCCCATATCCCAAACACACTCAGATTCTTCACTCTGTGTCCTGTTTTATTCTTTTAGCTTTTGAACTTTCAGTCTATTTCTGCTCCTTTTCCCCATGACCTATTACAAATTGATTTATACAGGAAGCTTTCAATGGAAACATTAAGTAATACATTTTATATCAACAAACAGTGACTCTAAATTTCTTTTAAGAATAAATCAAATAAACCTCCAATTTATATCACCTCAATTGAAAGGACTTTAAAGTCAAATTGATCCATTGAAAAAATCCTGAATTTTCCAAGACCAATGAAGAATTCTAACTAATACAGAGCACAAACATTTAAGTAGGCTGGCAAGATGCTTTATACCAATAGCATTTTTTACATGGCATTAAATCATCTAGTACTATGTGGTCAAATGGTAGGCATTGAACATTTTAAAAGTGAAGAAAGAAATAACTTACAACAGGCACAGAGTAGGAAAAGGGGCAAATTAAGATCTAGAAAGTAGGTCTAAATGGGTGACTCTGGAGGACATTATGCTCAGTGAAGTATCTTAGTCACAAAAGGACAAATACTGCATGGTGCCACTGTTGTAAAACAGGACTGACCTCGGGGTTGAGGGAGACTGAGAAAGAGGGATTCAATAATGTATACTACATTAGAACATATGAGGGAGAAAACTGTTAAAAAGGGATATGTGATTAGGTATTTTTGTCATGACAGGAGTCCAGAGCAAAGGCTGCATAGTGGAGTGGACCTGGGGGGAGGAATTATAAAACAATGAAAGACTTTTACTTTTCCAAGAGGGTAGTGTACTAGGGGGGAGGGGTGGGAGGAGAGAAAAGTGCAACAATGAATGAATGGAAATCCAAAGTCTCTGTAAATTTTCACTGAAATTAATAATAAGTTAAACAAAACAAAACAAAAATCCCAACTTAAACAACTATACTACAATAACAAATCAAAGCAGCTAACATTGAAAAAAAAAAAAACAAACAAAACTTTTTCCAACAGGGTGTAAAGAAAACCTATAGACTGGGAACAAACATTTGGTAATACCATCTCAGACAAGAGCCTTACAACAAAAGTTTACAGAATACTCCTGGACCACCACAAGAAAAAGACTGATAACCCAATTACAAAATGGGCAAAAGACATGGAAACAACTTCCAGAAAGGAAGATATTTGAATGGCAAACAGACACATGAAGAACAGTGGCAACGTTTAACAGGGTAGCAAGGAATAAATGTTGCAGTGGATGTGGCAAGAAAGAACTCTCATCCATTGTTGATGGGACTGTAAAATGATACAACCATTCTAGAAGGCAGTTTGGCACTTCCTCATAAAGTTGAACAGAGAAATTCCATATGACTCAGCTATTCCACTACTTGGAATATACCTTGAGAATATGAGGCACAAACTGAGTTTTGTACACCAATAATCACAGCAGCGTTCTTCATCATCTTAAGAACATGGAAATAGTCCAAATGTCCAACCAGAAACGAATGGATTGAGAAATTATGATATATTCACACAATGAAATCAATGCAGGAGCATTGATTTTGTAAATTATTATCTAACTTGTGAGGGACTGGAGAGCATTTGTCTGCGTGAACTAACTCAGTCCCACAAGGATAAATAGTGTATAAAACCATAATTGTATAATGAGTATAAGGATCCAAGAGGGTTGGGAGAGACTGGAAGCAGAGGGATGTAGATGTGCAGGGGGAGGGGGGGACATTAATCATCAGGTTATACAATTTG